CTTTCATTCCAAGTTAAATCATTTCTCGTTTTTTTTTTACGCTACGAGTTTACCTTTGTGGGCCTCAGTGTCGATAAGGTGGGTACCACCATTTTAGCGTCTCTCGAATTATTTTTTAAGAACCTTACTCAACTGATGTTCTTAATAGATTCATGCTTATACATAGAACATACTACTGACTGGTATTTCTTATTGGCTAACATCACAATGATTTACTGCTTTTTTTTCTGTAGATACAATTGTCGGAACTTTCAAAGATTCCCCAATTATTTTCAAAATTTGGCAACAAATAATAAAAAAGTTTATATAAAGTTACTTATTACAAAAATAAATTGTTACCAACATAAATTACAATTAGACCAAAAGACCACGGTAAAAAACACAATATTAGGTAAATTTGAATCAGGCGCTTGGCTGGTTGTTTTTATTATTGTTACTATCAGCTGCTATAATTAGCCGTTGAATAATTACCTAAAACCTCTATGTAGGACTTACATATTTCTATGTACCTAATTAAGAATAGATTTATTATTACCTAAATTGAATATAAATATAATATTTTATTATATAGGTAATATGAGCAGGGTAGTTTTACGATTTAATTCGTTTCGTGCATTAATTATCATAACATTCTACCTACCTACAATTTTGGTAGGAATAGGTACTTTTTCGAAATAAGAGATTTAATCTATGCAAAAAAATTAATTAAATTTTTAGGTAGATAGAGGGATATAGGTAGGATACCTATCTACCCCTATCCTCTATATACCTACGTAGGTATGATTAAAGTAATTATAAATTGTATGTTTATAACTCCAGTACCCAGTACCTACTAATTCAAATATAAGTACCTATGGTTTCAGAAACATGAATGAATACCTATTCCTACCTACCTAAAGTAGGTATTTGTAAAACGAACATCCCGCCGACTGAAAATCAATCTCTCGGTGGTATAATATTGAGTTTTTTGCATCAAACAATAATTTTTGGTTAAAAATTGTTCATTTTTGTGTTATAGTTATAAACACTAGACATTTGTATTTTTGTGTTATAAATGATTATAAACACTAGACATTTATTGCCTATCGTTTTTTTTGTGAGTAGGTATCTAACCAGTTGCCGTTAAAAGTAAGTAGCCAGTTATACTTTCATTTTTGATAAAATACGTATGTAATGTAATCTGCAAAGTAATCTTTAATCTATGTGCATTTTCGTAAGCTTACAAATAATATTTTAAAAAAAATACCTACAATTTAATAGTTGCTAACATTTGGTTGAAACAATAACTTTTAAAAATTAAAGAAAAGCTTCTCCCATATAATTAGGTATACCAAATTTCAAAGACATCTACACAAATCTAAAGATTTGATAAAAATACAGGGTGTTTCACGACATTTAAACTACGGTTGTAAGTGGTGAAGTGGTAAATTAAAAACTGCCACTAAAAATGCCATTTTCATTTGTGATATACATAGCGAAATTTTGTTAAATATTTTAAATTATTGTTGGTATGTCTTAAAAAACTTAAATAATTTATTTTAGTATGCAGTGTATTTAGCTATATGGACCAATGTAGTGCTTAGTATATATTGTGTACAAAAAATTACTGAGCCGAATTATGCAAATAGAGAAATCGTAAATAAACCAAGAGTCTGTGCTAAGAGTAATATTCATTTTTTCTATTGCACAGGACAATCGTAACCACTGATCTATGGTAGATGCGCCCGTGGAACTTGCGGCCACTACCTAAAATTGTGGCATTTGCGCCCTATCCTACTTTTGGAGCTTACCTGCTTTTGGCAGTTGCGTCCTGTTTTTGTTTGCAGGTAATTAGGTAGTAGGTAAACTTAAAATACTTGCGATACATTTTTAGTATTCTAAATTTTATTATTTTTAATATAGTGAGTCACTGGAAGATGGGCTATAACTACCCCAAAAAAGTTTCGTATTATGTATTTCTTTTATTTTCTTGTATCTCCGATTAAGAGTTATTAGCGGCCGTATCTCCGAATATCTTGAAGAATAATTAAAAAAAAACACAAAAACTAGGCGATTTTTATTGCAAGGGGGACACCTTTTCATCACATCCTTAATTTTTATGTTATTTTTCTCCCCTCTGTCACTCTAACTAATATTATTTAGATAGGGAAAGTACCAAGTATGACACATCATCGAACGTATACACCAACATCTTTTTAATGAGATTAAGGGTAAAACCCTCGTAAAATCTTTTAAATAAAATCCAGAAAACATTTATTGTAGTATATGTTTAATAAAATTAAAAGTAAAACTCTGCAAATTAAATCCAAGAAACAACTATTGTTAATACCTGTTAAATGAGATTAAGGGCAAAAACCCTTAAATATTTTATAAAAATATAATAGTAATAGGTATAAAGTGTTGTATTAATGATCAGAGGAGTATTCTCCAAATGGAAAATACCTATTGGATATTTCTTGTCTGAAAATGGAGCAAATTATATTTCTCTAAAATCTATTGTTATTAAGGCTGTAACAATGTTAATTAATAATAATTTAGAACCAGTTGGTATTGTCTGTGATCTCTCAACGACCAATCAAAAAGTAATTAAATTGCTCGGGGCAAACAAAGATCGTCCATATTTTTTTATTAACGAGAAAAAAATATTTACTTTTTACGATGTTCCTCATCTTTTTAAATGTATCAGAAATAATTTTATTGATTATAATTTCTTATATAATGGAAAATTTATTAGTTGAAATTGATAACCGCAGTAAAACTGGAAAAACTCTTTTAAAAGTTACAGAAAGACACTTACACCCAAATGCCTTTCAAAAAATGAGTGTTAAATTAGCCACATAATTATTAAGTCACAGCGTTGCAGCTGCCATTAAAACATCTACGAGAACAGGGCAGTTAAATTCTAGCACTGTCGAAAATACTGCGTTCTTCGTAGAGACTATGAATAATCTTTTCGATGCCTCAAATAGTACACGTGTCCGAGCATCAAATCCCTACAAGAGATTATATTGTGATAAGAATCAAGAGGTTGTCACAGCTCTAAATTCAGGTTATGATTTAATATCAAATCTGTACAAACAAAATTCCAAGGGAAAATTAACCCGACCTAACAGTTTTGATGGATTTTTAATAACAATAAATGCAGTTAAGCAATTTTGGACGGAAGTAAAACAAGCTAGATACAGGTATATTTTTACTGGTTGCCTTATTCAAGACCCACTAGAAAATCAGTTTTTAGTATACAGACAAAAAGGCGGTTACGATAGAAATCCAACAGCGCGGAGCTTTAAATCATCTATTAAACTAAATATTGTTAAATAATTTTATGCAGCCCCCAGTTTCCACAAATGCTGGTTCAAAACCAGATGAAAATATTTTAAAGAGTTGTTCTACGTCAAACGATATTTTGCAAAATATGAATGTAGAAGAGGATGAAGAAGAGGAAGAAGAAGATGAAGAAGAAGAGGAAGAAGAAGAGGAAGAAGAAGAGGAAGAAGAAGAGGAAGCAGAAGAATATAAAGAGAGCTATGATGAAGAGGAAACAAACGTGGAAACTTCTTTAAAATCTAAATTAGTTTCCTCTCTTTCCGACAAGTCATTATCTTTGGAGAGTTGTTCTACCGTTTATTTTTCTGGGTATTTGGTAAAAAAAGTTATAGACAAATTTAAATGCCAATTTTGTGAAATTAGGTTAGAAGGTTCTGAAGATATTACCCAAAACGATGAACTTCTTATTTTTTATAAAAACTATAATTTAGATCAATTACATGGGTTAAAAACTCCCACTAAAGTAATGAAAAAATTTACAAATATATGTTTATATCTAGTTTCAGTTAATATTGACCAATTTGCTCATCAAAAAGTGTTGAGCAATATATGTGAAATTATTAAAAAAAAGTTAATGTTTCTTTTGCCGGAATGGTTCGAGTGTAACCAAAATGGTGAAAAACACATATTGTATATCCTAAATTTATTAATTAAAGTACAAATTTATAAATACTGTAAAAATTTATGACGAAATTGGAAAAACATAAGCAACACTAAAAAACCCAAAAAGAATATAAAACCGTCTATACTTCAGAATCAATAAATAAGTTTATTTTATCTTTCAAATAGCTAATTTTGTATCGCACCTTCCTGCTATCAGAAACTTTAATATTATTGTTATGAATTACAAATTCCAAGTAAACGATAGAGGGGTCTAAAGATCTATAAGTTAATTTTACTATAATATAACCAAAACTAACTTCTAAAACATATGAAAAGTTTTGACAAATACGTCATTAACAATAAAAACTCATATAAATTGTTTCATTGCAATCGTTCTATTTATTAAAACATTTTGGCTTGTGCTGGTTTTAAATGTTTCAACTTTAAGAGTAAACCCACTTTTTAATAAACCTTTTAAAAACACAAATGGTTCTCAAAATTCAGTTCTCTGTTGTATCTCTAAATTTTTCTGATAACTGTTATTGCTTTATTTTTCTTGTTTTTTTTTGTCATTTGATGATAGCTGTTATTGCCTCTTTGTACTTACTATAATAATTAGGGTATTAAATTATTTTTGTTATTTATGGATACTGTAGTGAGTAATTTATGCGTTTTTATTTTAAAAATCGTGTAAATAAAATACATTGCAAAATATCAATAGACTGTTATTTTGATTTAACATTTTCACTACCCCTCGCAACAAGTCGTAGAAACTTATTCTCTTACTCCGTATCCTTTCCAACATGGCAACTAAAACCAACTCTTAGAATATTTTGGGTAGCCGTTATTGTATAAAGATAAATTTCTACTTTTAAACAGATCAATTAATAGTTTCGGCTTCTCTCCACCAGTAGGGCACAATCTCCTTATGCCTGGAGGATGCGAGAGGTAGTCAAACAGAATTTATACAGGCGCTGACTAACTATCTCTACTCTTTAAACAATGGTATAACTATGGTAAATACTTTTTGAAAAAAATGTGATCAAAGTTAAAAATATATAGTTACTTACTCAAATTATCCAAGCAAAATTGACAACAGTTACAAGTAGTAGGTGGTGTTAAAAAAACTCCGTTGTGCGTAACATTTTGAGCTTTACATTTTGTGGACAACTCAGGACAGCTTACATCCTAAAAAAATATATATATTTAAAATAACCCATTTGCTTAACTATATAGTAAACATCTATCTAAACATACTTTACAAAAATTGTTTGTACATAAAATATTTTCATCCGAGAAAACGGATCCGAAAATACCGACAATAACTAAAACCACAATCATTTTCTCACTTCTATCGTTACTTATATGTGCCTAATATTCTAGGTAGGTAGATAATTTTAGATCAGTTCCTTAGAAGTATTTGTTTATCAATGATTTATTATCAGATAGCAACTTATCAATGCACATTAATTAAATATATGGTTTAGATTTTTTTCGATTATTGTCAATAATAATTTTACTTCTGATCAGTTTAATTACCCATTAGACACTTATTTAAGAGTAAAATCATGTTTCCTAATAATAAAAGATAAAATACAAAAGTTAAGAAAATTAACACAACATACAATATTTCTGAAAAATTTAATTTAGGAAATTATTTTATTAAATAGCGGAAGGAAATTCAAGAATACTTTTCTGAGGGAGGTAAAAAGAAACCAACGAAAGTATAGGTTCGAATTCTGCAATCTAGTAATTAATTTGAGGGTATAAGATCTTCGGTTTTCCAATCAAGATCACAAAAGCAGTCGAAAAAAATTTGTTAGTTTTACGAAGTTACACTTCTTTGCCTCTCCCATTGGAAAAAGTTCTGACGGTGTCCAGTTAAACCTACAAGAGAAAGCTTATTCATTTTTCTCATGTATTCAATAAGAAAAGAACTACTCAAAATCGATACAATATAATTAATATAAAAATCTTATGTGTCCAACACATGACTTTCCTATCCAGTTATTACAAGCTTTTTCCGGTTATTTCCGGTTATAGAAAATTATAAAATTATAGAATCATCGAATTATAAAAAATTATATATCAAACAACTTTTATTTGAACAATTTTCATAAAAATTTGTTTTTTTTTACATTTTGTCAAATTTTTTGAATACGGACCATTTAAGAACAATTTTAAATGGAACAAAACTTATAGAAAATAATATTAGAAGAAATTATTATTTAAAAAATTTTCTTCTGCAAACGTAAATAACAGATGTATCCCATAAAATATAAAAACGGCCTCCCATAGAGTACTCCCTCAAGATGTTCCGACTCTGTCCAAAATCTTATCAGTTCAGCAGAGGCCGGAATAAAGCTTAAATTTAAAATTTGGTGTTTTTCTTTGTATCCGTTCATGAGTAATTCTGGATACAGACACACGCACGCACGCACGCACGCACGCACGCGCACACACACACACACACACACACACACAGAGACATAATCGCGAAAATAGTCAAAACGGATTCAGGGGACCCCAAAACGTAAAAATCCGACGAAAACTCGAGGTCGAAAAAATCATGATTCCTATACTTTCCTTATCTGTATACAGATAGGAAAGTAAAAATCTGATATGTCCAACACATGACTTTCTTATCTAGTTATTACAGGCTTTTTTCGGTTATTTTCTACAACCTATTGTAGCACCTCTGTAAATGTAAACAAAGGATAAACTAAATATATACATTTTCCACGTACTTCTAAATCGATGTTTGCCAAAAATCTATTCAGTTTACCATAGGCCAGAATAAAAGTTAAATTTAAAATTTGGTATTTTTCTTTTTATCAGTTTCTGAGTTTTATTCAAAATTCGAAATTTACACATTTTCTTAAATATCTCAATACGGATCATTTTTCAGAAATTAGATATGAAACAAGAATGGGCCCGTTCACTTTCATTTTTGAATGTGAATTAATTATATATTTATAAAGATATTAAACTCTTTTGTCTGGTGGTACCTTTCCCGTTTGGATATGTTTGCTAGAAGTAAGGGAATTCCCATAAAATTCTTTCAGTGACTCATTGCGTCAGAAAATCCCTAATGGGCCATGTTCACATGTGAGATATGCTGTTTTATAAATTATATTGTAATAGTTAGTCGATATACAAGTTATTCTAAATAGTCAGTTCGTTAAAAAAGCCAAAAGTTTTTAAATTAAGCCCAATTGAAATTTTAAATTTTAAATTATACGTCATCGGGAATAGACCAATCATCTTGTGTCGAAGTTTTTTTTGTTATACAAAACCAAGCCAACGAACAAACCGACAAACAGAATGTCGAAGTGAACGCACATCTAAGTGACATTAAAATTGACACCACCTAACCTTAGTTTTTTGTTTTGGTTTAATTTTATTATTAATATGAAAATCAGCTGGATTTGTAAAAGTTGAATCAAGTGTTTTACCCATTGTAAACGAAAATATGATTACCGAGATGATTACTGCATTTTTTAACAATACTCAGTTTACAAAATTCAGAAAGGTAAGACTTTGTTTTAATAGTAGGTAGTTACAGTTTATATGGAGCAAGTAAAACATATTTATCTCCGGTTTTATTTTTAGATCTGCCAAGCAAGAATATGGGGATAATTTCTTTTTCCATAAGAGAGGAGACAAATTACACCTAAACATAAAGTACGGCAAAAACCTTCTGATGAGGTTGTTGTAATTAACAAAAATGAAATTTTTAGTGCACAATATACTTAGGATATGCTGCATGTCAAGGTTTGTAATATTTATTATGCTTTTTTGTTTTTATATTACATATAATAAACAGTGTATAAGGCCCTTTATTCCCATAAATATTTTTTTTCTAATTTTGACATATAGACATTTTTTGTAATCGCAGCAAGTGTTAAAATAATCTAGAAACAGATTTTGTTAGTGAACCTAGTAATAATTATGATACCAAAGAATGCTGCAGAGCACCTATGAAATTTTGAGTTAAAAAATATGCCATATTTTTAGGCTATTTTTATACCCTTTTCAAAAATTTTATGCTCCTCGTTTTTTGCTCTATAGCTTCGAACGAAGTCAGCAAAGCACCTCTGTTTTATAAAGTTTTTTCTTTAAAAACAGCAACACCATATATTTATGCACTCGAAATATTATATTTTTAAAAATACATGGTGCTTGCTAACCTTCGAAAGAAGCCAGCAGAGCAATTCGGTTTTTTAAAGCTTTTTTCTAAAAACCACACCCCATTTTTAGACTCTTGAAATATTGTAAAACTTTACTAAAAAAATTGCTATTTTTAAATAATACAGGGTGCTTTGTTGGAACAAAGTCAGCAGGACACTTCAGTTTTTTAATTTGTTTTTTTTTATATATATAAAAACAACTACTTATGACACATGTTTAGGCTGTTTTAAAATCCTAAAAATGTGGTAAGTACATTTGTTTTCAGAAAAAAACTTTGAAGTCAGCAAGGAATTGCGAATTTTTTTTAAAATGCCAAATTTCGAATATTTTATAATATTGTAGGAGCCAAAAAACGTGGTGTGGTTTAAAAAAAAACTGGGGTGCTCTGCTGGATTCGTTTGAAGCTAACAAAGCATCCCGTAATTTTTTATTTTATAATACTCAATAGCCTAAAATGAGACAATAAAGGTATTACTTTAGCTTGACCTATGATCAATTTTTAAATTTTGTGATATATTTGGTTCGACAGAAAAAAAATTATAACCCTTTGACATTGGTTGTTTTTACTTAGATTTTCATAAAAAATAAACGGAACTGCAAACATGTTTTACTATCGTAATAACGAATAGCAACATTAAATTTTTTTTTCACATTTATCACTGTTGTCATTTTCATAATGGATTGATAAGAAGGCACTTTCTGGTTTTTTGAAAAAGGTGGCAAGAATTGTGATATTTTTAAATTTATCAGCAGTGATACCACATGTAGTTACCCGATTTATTGGAATATATAGACTTTGCTACCACATTCAACTGAACTTGGTTGTTTTTAATATTTATCACTGTGACATATGCGTTTTTGTCAAAATGTTTCATTTTAAACTGCTGTAAATTGGTGCCTTTGTTTTGGTAGTTTTAGTCCCAAAAAAATCTATGCATATACAGGTACTCTTTCCTCTTTGATTTGTTCGAAAAGTTAAAATTTTATAAAAAATTACATTGGCTGTTTAAAAACTCATTATAATCCCTGAAATGTGATAATTAGGTAAATTAAATTAAAAAAACAAACAAAAAAAATTTATTAAATTAATATTTACTCTTACAAAATAGGTTCTTGTAAGTTAACAAGCAATTATGCAGAATTACTGAGTAAATGTACTTGCTTAAAATTCACACACGAATGTGGTTTTAATATGTTAAATTAACTAACCCTTCTTATAACTCTTTCCACATGTATTCTTAGAGATGCTATTCTTTTACTTAATTGTACATCTTCTGGAGAACTTTTTTCATTCTGTGATACACTAGGTGTGGCTTTACTAAAGTGCATCCCATGTTTTCAAGTAGCTGAATATTCTGAAACCCCTATCTGCCATTATATGGGATCCAGGAACCAGTTTGTTTAAATACCCACATTTTTCTATTATTTCTTTATCACTAGTTCTTCCACAAAATGATGAATAAATTCGGTATCTTCAAAACTTTCAGGAGATTCTGCATTTTCTTCCAGAAGGGTTTTTAGGTTATACACCTAAGAATTTATAGTAGCCTCATTTTCAATTTCCTGAAGGGGACAATTAGCAGAAATTGCTGCTACATCTTGATAATCCGGTGTATTTTTATTAAAAAGTTCACGAGAAACATCACTAGTAGAAGGTTGATTTTCTTCTTTCCAAATTTCTAGGAACACTAATAAATATTTTTGAAGATGAATGTGAATCATTATCACATTCTGGAACAAAACACTTTTTCGTAGTCATAATATTTATAAAAAGTACAAAATTAAACACTCAAATTCCAAATAAATTCTTGATCGAGATCGAGACACTATGATGACAGATGCCATACACAGTGCTGCCATTTTGCCATTTTCTGAATTATTAAGTGTCTTTTAAAACAATGAAACTTTAAATATGGTAAAAGTTTAAACAGAAATAATACTTTCAAAAAACATTTGATATTATATATTTAAAAGATATTTGTTTAACGATGTTTTAGAAGTCTAAAAGTAAGAAGGAGTACACAAACGAACGTACATCACTTCTCGTAAACCTTCTAGCCGGCAACGTTGTGCGCTAGCTCCTATTGGTCTATTCCCGGTGACGTCATAAATTTTTAAAAAATTCATAACTCCGGCAAATGAATAGATAATAAAAAAAATGTAGTTTTATTTTTAACTCTACTATTCATAAAAAAAATTTCAAAATTTTTGAACATGCCCCATTACGTTCACGTCTCGTATCGGTTATGCTTAAAA